TTTTTTTTACCCACAAAGATGACCAAAGCAAATGGTTTCTGCATCGGAAATGCTTATTTATATTTACATCAAGCCTCAACAGGTTGTGAACCTTAACTGAATTGCCACGAGTCAAAAAGAACATTTTCTTGAAAAACTAAACAAAACACAAGTGGCAGCACGTTAGTGGAGCGGTTAGCACGTCTGCCTCACAGTAGAGACGTTCTGGTTTCAAATCTCAGTCCTTCCAGTGAGGAGTTTGCCTGTTCTGCATTGTGCTTGCAAATGGGACTTAAGGTTTAGCCATCCACAAATGGGGCAGAACTGCCAGTTCATGGTTACAACGTCTGCCACACAGTCACGAGGTTCTGGTGTTTTACCCGGTTTTCTCCGGGTACGTCCTCCCACATTTAAAAAAAAAAAATGCATGTTGGCAACACAGAAGACTCCCGTGGCGTGCGGTGAGGTTCATGACTGATGAGGCACTACTCCTCTTAAGTCAGGTATACAAATATGAACTCAAAAATTGAAGGTTAACCTCGATTTCTATTTTGATCTTCATTGAAGCGTATATTATGAATAAAGTAAAAATTTATTTTTTAAAAATCTGTTTTCAAAGCTTTTAGTTAATTGTTTCAATCAACTCCACATTGTTCAACACTATGTGAAGAAAAGCAAAAGAGTATTTAATGTAAGTTCATTGTTCATTGTTCAGCTGTTGTTTTGTTTGCAGATCTCTCTTTAAAAAACACACATAAAAACAAACAAAAAGTATTTTATGAAAGCCCCAATTACAAAATTACTTGTATGGTGTCATATCTGCCTGTCTGATATTTCTAGCAAACCAGTCTGTGGCAAAGTCGGCAAATGATTCTAAGAGTTAAAATGAATTTATTTGAACCAAACACATTAATATAAGTGAATGGAAAAGATCGCTGGGGACTTTCAGTTAAAAATGGCAGATAAGTCAGCATGTCGTTGCTTTTTCTACGCATTGCGCCATGTCTCTTGTGTGAGTGCATGCGCCAAATGAGTTGCAATCCTTGTGTGCTTGCTCACTGGAGACCGAACGTTAAATGCCTCTTTTTACTTCTTGCCCACACATTTAAACAGGAAATACAAAATCAGACATTACAATGATAAAATAATTGATCATTACTGGATTGAAAAGACATTTATCTGATAGACATAAAATGAAAAATATTTTTTTTTATAATTATTCCATTTTTTTTGTTTGTTTGTTTTGTTTTCATAAGTATAGAGCGGCCAGCAGGGCGCTGAACTGCCTCACTTGCCTACTCCACATACCTGGAAGACTCAAATTGTCTCATGTGAATGATTGTTTGTCTATATGAGCCCAGTAATTGTTAATTATATTGACGGTGACCAGTCCAGGGTGTGCCCTGCCTCTGCAGCTCATCAGCGATGCTAATGAGGACAGACATGATCGAAAATGATGGATGGATGCCCATTAGTGTAATAAAATAAGGCAGCTGCAGCACTGAGTAGTGATTAGCACATCTGCCTCACAGTTGAGAAGCTCTGGGTTTGAATCTCAGCTCTGGGTATCCTGTGTAGTGTTTGCATGTTACTCCTCGTTTTTGCATGGGTTTACTTTTGCTACTACGTCTTCCGCTCACACTCCCTAAACATTTGAGGTTAATTGAAGTCTTTAAATTCTCCTTAGGTGTGAATGACTGTAAGTAGCTGTTTGCCTGTAAATGCTCTGCAGTTGGATGGCAACCAGCCCATAAGAGACCCTGCGACTCTTGCCAAAAGTCATCTTGGATAGGCTCCAGCTCACCTGCGACCCTAATGTGAATTCATCTGTTTTTGGATCCTACCCATTGCCAACAAAACTTGCCTGTTCACTGTTTTTGTGTTTTCTGAAATGCTGTAAGATGCCACAAGATGGTATCAAAGCCCCATCGAATAGCCTAGGCTGCCACACAATGGTGACAAAAGTGTTGAGGAACTATGTTGAAGTGATATCGCTCCTCTAAGGTACAAATGCCGAGAAATTTTTAGAGGGGCCTCAATTAAAAGGTTTGGTGCTATAAACAATAGGGTTCACTCTCTCTCCCCGAGGACGAGCGGTTCTTTACTCTACTTGCTCTTCATATAATGAAAACAGCACACTACGATCATTCTACTGAGCTGCTGCTGATGTTTTTTTTTCTTTTCACACCTCCTCATCCTGAAGATGTCAGCTGATTTTGTGGAACCCTGAAGGCGAGGAGCACTTCTTCCAAGACTCACCATGGCTACGGGAGTCGCCGCGTGGCTCCCCTTCGCCCGGGCGGCCGCCATTGGCTGGATGCCCGTTGCCAGTTGCCCCATGCCGGTGGCGCCACGAGACCACCGTCGCCGGCAGGACGAGCTCATCATCCTCAACGTCAGCGGCCGTCGATTCCAAACCTGGAGGACCACTCTGGACAGGTACCCAGATACCCTGCTTGGCAGCTCAGAGAAGGACTTCTTCTATAATGAGGAAACCAAGGAGTACTTCTTTGACCGAGACCCAGACGCCTTCCGAAGCATCCTAAACTTCTACCGGACTGGGAAGCTGCACTTCCCGCGGCACGAGTGCATCTCCGCCTACGACGAGGAGCTGACCTTCTTCGGCATCATCCCGGAGATTATTGGCGACTGCTGCTATGAAGAGTACAAAGACCGGAAGCGAGAGAACCTGGAGCGGCTTCAAGACGACCAGGAGGAAAACAAAGACGTTAAGCTACCACACATGAACTTCAGACAGACCATGTGGCGGGCGTTTGAGAACCCTCATACCTCCACCATGGCGCTGGTGTTCTACTACGTCACTGGCTTCTTCATCGCCATCTCTGTCATTACCAACGTGGTGGAGACGGTGCCGTGTGGCTCCACCCCTACTCAGAAAGACATGCCGTGCGGCGAACGCTATACGGTAGCGTTCTTCTGCATGGACACGGCTTGTGTCATGATCTTCACAGTGGAGTACCTGCTGCGCTTGTTTGCCGCGCCGAGCCGCTATCGCTTCATGCGCTCTGTGATGAGCATCATCGACGTGGTGGCCATCCTCCCGTATTACATTGGCCTGGTGATGACCGACAACGAGGACGTGAGCGGTGCCTTTGTTACGCTGCGGGTCTTCCGCGTCTTTCGCATCTTCAAGTTCTCGCGCCACTCACAGGGCCTGCGCATCCTGGGCTACACGCTCAAGAGCTGCGCCTCCGAGCTGGGCTTCCTGCTCTTTTCACTCACCATGGCCATCATCATATTCGCCACGGTCATGTTCTACGCTGAAAAGGGCTCAAGCTCGAGCAAGTTTACCAGCATTCCGGCATCCTTCTGGTACACCATCGTCACCATGACCACGCTGGGGTAAGTCATGAACATCACATACTCATTGTGTCGAACCATGCCAGATATCACCAATAGCCAACTTCAGTGCCGGCTGCAACATTTTGGCCATCGTCATGAGTCGGTGGTAGCGAAAGAAAACGAAGCTGATAAGCATTTAACGCTTTTTTTTTGCCAATGCAGCAGTTGCCCAACAGTCAGCCATTCGGCCGACCGCCGGCTTAATGTGTCACTACCTTTACAGGTGAACCTAACTTGATCTGCTCTAAATTTTTGAACACACATGGCCAATTCTTCACACTTTTAGCACCTTTTGCACTATTTGCTGTTGCAATCTGCCAATAATACATTGTGACACTCTAAGCTCAGTGGACACCTCCCTCTGATAACAATCTTTTCAAAGCCTCACATTTTCGCTACTCGTTTCCCATTCAGGCTGTGAATCCAGAATCAACTTGAATGGGTTGTAATTGTACCTTTGCCGAAAAACACATGATAGTTCAAAAAATGAAAAATTCAATTTATTCATAATGGTAAATGGAGTTCACTCATGTGGGGCTTTCACTTTTTTGTAAACATAAAGGAGTGCACACCGACACGCGAATGTCGCCGTGTCAAACTACGGAAAGGTTTTCCTTCTTAGTTTAAGACAACTTACTTTCACCACCAGAATCCCTCCTCGTACACTGACCAATGGCAGAACCCAGGATATTTTTTACACTTTTGGTAAAGTTTTAAATCCATTGTTTTCTGTGGTATCAGCTAAGTAGCGCAAGCTAACCTGGAAGGATTTGTCTGTCTGGTCCAACATTCACATTCGCAAACTCACTTCATACTCGGAGTGAAGTAACAACTAATTGCTTAACAGTTTAATTTAATAATACTCATTAGTAGGCATTAGCCAGCATAAATTTTTTAACGGCCAATTCACATCTCAATTCGAGTCATCACTGATTCGTAGTAGGATGTTTTGAGGTTCCAAAAGATGAGCAATAAAAATGAGAGATAATAAATTGTATTCTCAAAATATATTGAAATATATAACATCATTTACAAATGGGCCCATTTGTCCGTTCAGCACTTGAGCACAAAAGTTTGCCCATATCTGCGAAAAAGCATTTCCATGTGTTTCTCAATAGAATTGTGCAGGTATACTTTAACTTTATACATTGTAATCAAATTTCCTTACACCTTCACACATAACAGCCATTTTAACACACACTCTTACACACAAATGAAATAAGTTGTTTTTTTTTTTTTTCTCACACTGGTGACCTCCCACAAGTAACATATTTACAGCCATGGTGTTCAGTGTAAGAAAACAACTGCTTTGTGAGGAATTGATTTAAAGGCATCATAAAGTCCACCGCACTGTGTTTTGAGGCTGAAGGCAAAGAGTCCCGGGAGGCTTCCTCTGTCACATTTATTATGATTCAACACACTTAATATTTCACAAGCTCGCCGAGCTCCACGGCCGTGACCCATGGGGTGAACGAGAACGTGCTGCTAAAGTTTGGCAGCGAGGAATGAGAATCATAGTCCCTACACCTTCTTTTCATGAGAGTCAATACAAAATATTATTTCTCAGACATGCAATTTTGAAATGGACCTCATTAGGTTGTGAAGGTGTACCAAATGAAATGTGTCCTTCCAATTTGATTTTGGGATATCGATCTCATCGGTTTCCAGGGGGATTCTTTGTTAAACATCTGTATATCAAAAGGTAGGTAGAACTAACTATTAGACATGCTTAGGAAGCAAATCAAGAAATAGAATTCATGGTTGCTAGTTTTAACCACCCAGGCATCTGAAAACTCTGCTGGAATGTTTTTTTTGTATTTAATTTTCAATTGATGTCCCAGGAGTCACTGATGGTGTAGTGGTACACACTCCGGACTCGTGTGCGGGCAGCGTGGGATCGGTTCAAACTCAGTGGCGGTGTGAATGTGGGTTTGAGTGGTCATTTGTGTCTATATGTGCCCTGCAACTGACTGCTGACCAGTTTAGGGTGTAGTCTTGCTTTCGCTGGGAGAAACTCCAGCAACGCCTCGCAACCCTGTTCAGGATAAGCGGTGTTGAAAACGGATGGATGGATGAAGTGATTTTCCACTGCTGCCACCTCCATTCACCCACAATATAGGCTCCAGGACACGAGGCTTCAACCACTAAGGCCTGTATGGGTTACATTTGAAAATACGGTGAAACCTCCAATGTCCATAAATAATCGGTAATTGGTTAAAAAAAAAAAAAACGATTTTGCAATAAAATATACTGCAGTTGACATTTTTATCCAAATATAGAATTCATCGATGGAATAACCTATAGAATAATTGAAGCGAAAAATACTCAATAGTGATAGCCCTAAACTATCCATGCGAAGTTATGAAGTTATAATTACAGTAAATACCCGGATTAAAACACTTCTACGCCATTATTGTATAAGAATCAAATGAAAAATACTTGAACATGCCGTGCTGTGCCGAGTGTCGACGTGTTTTCACTGCACTGAGTAAGAGTTAATTACTTGACTTTTACACCTCAAATCTTGATATGCCATTAGCATCGTAAACTAAGAAGCCATTCTTGTGTTACATTACATTTCTTCTATATTTGAATAAAATACAAGATCATAAGAATAATTACTAGCTCTAATCTCTGATAGCCAGAGCCTGAGCTGCACTGTACTTGATTACAGAATAGCATTTGGCTCGAATCCCTTACCTGATGTGTTCCATTTGGGAAGTCTGTGCGCCTCTGTACTGCAGCGAATATTCCATCTCCCCCAAAATAGGAATATATGTTACGTTATAGACAAATGTCTGATGCCGTGGTGGTACACTTGCCTGACTTTCGTGCAATCAGAGTTGGTTCAGTACCCTGCCATAGATAGTGTTGATGTGAGAGTGGATAGTTGTCCATCTCTATGATTGACTCACGACCCGTGTATGGTATAGTCTTGCTGATAGCTTTTTCCCAAAGTCGGATGGGATATAATCCAGCACCCAGGGCCCTTTCCAGGATAAGCAGAATAGAAAATGGGTGGATAGACACATGGATGGAACTGTGCACCATTAGATTGCACTGTATTGCTCTATTGTTTTGAGTGGTCCATGTAACAACAAAGTCAGTCTATTGGCAAAGTTGTTGCTGTTTACTGGAGTGTGCCAATCCCCTCTTTTACTGCATTATTTAGCAACTTTAACTTTACGATGCCACAAAGCAAAACTAGGTTGAGGTCCAAGTTGTTATTGGGCTGTAATCATGCCCACCAGTCCAGACGGGGCGATCTGTCACGCCGCGCCTCATTTGGTCCATAATGAAAAGCACGATGTGACCTTGTAACTTTGCACAACTGGAACTCTCCGCGGTGTCCATGCTTGTTTTTTCTGGATCAAATAAAATGTCGGTAATGATCACTAGAAGAGAAGCGAGATGAACTCGAGCTGGACCATTAGCCGGGGGTTTACTGTACTGGGCCTTCACGTTTGGTGCAGTTCATTTGTCAGGTTGATTTTTCTTAAATGGATTTTTTTAAAAGCCTCCGTCAGTTGAAAGCACGTCCTTGCTGACATGTACTACTTACGCTATCAATCTTGCTGAAAACAAAGTGGATGTAGTCTACAAAAGCAACATAATTTAGTGAATTTCCCAGCCGCTCTCGCAAATATATATTTTTTAAAAAGCAACAAGCAAGTTCAATTCCTGCTCAGGAACAGACAACATGGGCGCAATCATTTTCACATTGGGTTGCGTATGACAAGAAAGCAGCCAGTGAAAGGAGACCACAAAGACAGTTGCGCTGAAAACCAGGAAAGACACAGTGCAGATTCTGAAGTTCCAAGTTGGAAACTTTTGACCTGAGGTATGTGCTTCCATGCTACAAATATTTTGCTGAACTCCCCTTGTATCACCTGTACACCTTTACATAAGGAAATGACCAAAAAGACCAAGAGAGCTGGAGGAAATACAGTTCAATGAAAGACATGGGCCAGCAGAGCCATGCAGTTTGATGACACATTTTATCAAGCCAAGACAAATCAAGTCTTGACTTTAGCATTTTATGAAGTTGACTTTTTTAATTTAAAATTTAAACTGGGTTATTTATTAAGAATCATACTTATATTTATGTTTTAACGAAAATGACTTTTTTCCCCTAGATCAAACACTTGTTTGCACATTATTTGGAATTACTTCTGTGGAAGTTGATGCAAATTAATGCTGTATTAAAAAGTGCAAAAAAATTAAAGAGGAAAACTGTTTTTGCATAATGTATCCATCCAGCCATTTTCTAATCCACTTACCTTCACGAGGGTTGCGGCCGTGCCTATCCCCAGCTGTCTTACGGCATTTGGTGGGGTACACCCTGAACTGGTTGTCAGCCAAGGGCACAGATAGACAAACAACTATTCGTGCTCACAATCACATCTAGGGACAGAATGTTCAATTAACTGACAGTGCATATTTTTGGAATGTGGGAGGCAACCAGAGTACCTGGAGAAAACCCACGCAAGCACGGGGAGAACATGCAAACTCCACACAGGAAGGCCAAAGCTGATAAAAATTGGAAATCGGAACCCAAAGCTGAATTTGAGGCTCCCTTTAGTTGAAGACTGACCGAATATGCTTGTTCCGCACTGTTGGTACATGTGTGCCTGAATTGGAAAGGACTTTTTGTATCATGCATTTAAAAAGAAAATAATACATTAAAAAAAAAACCTGAAATGCCAAGGTGAAACCTCTGTGTACAATCGTGATCTACAAACAATGTCTTGAAGTGAATTATGCATTATGTGCAAGCTACAATAGAGTCTATCGAAATTCTCTGGAAAAAAAAAATCAGGTGTATTGCCATCCAAGGACATCTTCAGAAAAATAATACTGGATGCACTCTCAAGGCTCAGGCATACAGAGAGACAATTTGACAAAAATCACATGTAGGAAATCTTGCAATCTGTTTTTTAGTATTCATAGTATGAAGGTGAGATTCTATTTCGACTAATGTAATTTCATCTTCTAATGCC